GTTTTAGCCATTATTTCTTTAAGTATTTCATCTGTAACACACTCTGTCTCCCTCAGGAATTCCAGTTACATATATTTGGATACTTGAAATACTCTTTTTCTTGTCTACCTGTTTTTTGTTTGTTTTTAACCTTTAAATTCTCTCTGTGTATTTCCTTTTRAAGAATTTATATTGCTAAATCTTCAAATTTACTCATCTTTCCTTTTACAATATCTAATCTGCTACTCTATCCCGTATGTTTTTCATCTCACACATTACAGTGTTCATCTCTAGGGGTTCATTTTGTCTTTTTAAAAATACATACCCCATGTCTCTGCTTAACTTTTTGAACATTTGAAATAAGTTTTAATGACTGTTTTAATAGCTCTCTCTGTCAATTCTAACACCTTTGCTCATTCTGGGTTGGTTTCAATTATCCCTTCATTATAAATCTCATTTCCCTGCTTCCTTGTATGCCTAGTTTTTTTTTGTTTTTTTTTTTTTTATTAGGTGTCAGACATTTGGATTTACCTTGTTGGCTGCTAGATATTTTTGAACCTTGTAAATATTCTTAAGCTCTGTTTGAAGATGTAGTTGATTACTTGGAAATAGTTTGATCCTTAATGGTTTTGCTTTTAATATTTGTTAGATGGAATCAGGTCTGTGCTCAATCTAGCACTAAATGTCCCTCATTATTGAAGCAAGACCCTTCTAAGTACTCTACCTATTATCCTTTGAATATTGAGGTTTCCCAGGCTGGCTGGTGGGAGAAAAACAGTTTTTGCAGCCKTGTGCACTATAACCTCTATTCTCTTCAGATGGTCAGTTCCCTGGCTGTGGGTACTTTCCTCATATGCATTTGCTGATCAGTACTCAGTTGAATACACAAGGGACCTTCTCTAAGTCTCTCCTTCTCTAAGTCTCCTTCTCTAAGTCTCTAGTTCTCTCCTTTCCAACTGTCCAGTAAACTATTGCCTTGGCCTCCCCTCTGTCCTCAACTCAGGGAGTCCACCAGGTTCCACCGAGTCCCCTCTCCCTGAGCCATGCCTGGAAACTCTCTCAAAGCAATATGCTGAGATATAGGTAGTATTTGCCTTGCTTAGCTCCCCATTTCTCAGGGACCATTGTTCTTTGCTGCTTGATGTCTAATGTCTTACAAACAGTTCTTTTATACATTTTGTTCATTTTTTGGTTGTTTCAAATAAGAGAACCAATCTGGTCCTTGTTATTTCTTCTAAGCCAGAAGCAGAAATACTCATGGGCAAATTTTCCAATTTTTCTGAGTTTTATGTTGTCATCTATAGAAAAGGATAATAGTATTTTATTTATAATTTTACCATGAAAACTGAATGAGACTGTGGTTTGTGAAGTACCTGGCAATTGCCAGATGCTCAGCAAATATTTGGGTCTTCACTCTCTCTATACCTAATTCTTACTTCTTCTGGATTTTACTTGGGTTATCAATGTGATTCATGGCTGAACTTTGGGTTGGGGTCTCTGCAATGATCAACTAAAGTAGACAATCACTTGTGGGCCAATAAGATTTTAACATGATGGGTTTCAGAATTCTGCTATCCAGAGGACATTGAGGTATAAACCTTTTTTCTCTTTTAATTAGACATTTTCTTTTTCTAAAACCTCATCCAATCCAACCTGCTAGAATTATTCATTTGTTTATAGTCTGAATATCAGGTTTTGGAAGGTCAGTGATTGAAGTAGACAGAATTTAAGAGGACCAGTGCTATTTGTAATCCAGTATAATTTTGTTGGGATTTCCACTAGATCATGAATGTCAGCCTTTTCTTTCCCCTTTTCTTCTCAGATTTCCCAAAGAACTGCATGAAGAAGTGTTTGCTGTAACTCACTTATTCTCYCTTCTTTTTGCTTCTCTCCCACCATAGTGTCTGGAGGTCGAAGTCGCCTGCATCTCATTGATCTTGGCAGCTGTGTGAAAGCTCTTAGCAAAAATCKAGAAGGAGGTTCAGGGCTGTGCCTCTCATTGTCTGCACTGGGCAATGTCATCCTCGCTCTCGTCAATGGCAGCAAACACATCCCATACAAGTAAGTGATTCTTCTATTTGAATAATAAGTGTGGTAAACATGGAACCAGAGCTGGGTGTGGGACACTTAGTCCAGTGCCATCTAGGGAGAAGTGTGGCACAGAGGGACAGTCTGTACCAAATTACTAGTTCAGAGCCATGGATCAGCATTAGCTAACCATTGTATAATGTATCATCTTCCAAATTGGAGAGTTTTAGAAATACTTAAAACTAACTTTAGGTTACTCAGAGAAAAATAGGACATTATCTCAGTGGAGGTCTCCAATTACAATGACTATTTGTGGATTGTTGTCACCATTGTGTTGATGTGTATATTTAATAGTGATGTGAGCAACTGGCTGAAGATTGGCTTATCTTTTCTTTAAGACTAACAGATTAAACCAATAAAAATACAGATACCCAGCTACATTTGGATTCCAGATAAACAAATAATTTTTTTGTATAAGTATGCCTCCCCCACCATTATTGTATGGATACTATAGGAATTTTATATATTATCTGGCATCCCTACTTAGCAGACTTTGTAAGGTTTGGGGATTTACCCAGCACTATTCCTTGCAAATGTTTGTTCCACATATCATTTTCTTCCTCTCTTTCTGCTATTGCTCCAAGATGATGAAATTAGAGCCACTCCTATGTCTGGCATAGCCATGGACTTTCCATATCATCTGTTCATAAATGACCCAGCTCAACCACCCCTCACCACCATCACCTAGCTCACCTTTGCCACTGGACAATGTGGTAGGGTGATAGATGCTCCACTGGCTATCCAGGCCTCTGACAATGCCCATCTGTGCCTTTTACTTGTTATAAGAACCTTTTGTAATGATTAAATGAGGGTTATAGTTGTATATCTTGTCTATATCACAGGAATATAAGACTTGGAATGATATAAGATTAGTATATGAAAGTTTTTTGGTAGAATTTAGAACACTATAGTAAATAACCAATAATAATAATAATAATAATAATAATAAGGCTATCCTTATCTATTTAAATGGAAATAATACCTACTTTAGAGAGTTGCCATAAATAAAAATATATGGAATCAATTTTTAATCTATAAAAATTCTACAAAATTCAAGTTATTGTATAGGAGGAAAAAAGATAAATCAAGCAGCTTGTTCTGTAGTAACTGAGATTCAGGCTGAGTCCTTGAGTTCTCCTCCCTTTGTCCTAAGTGGATATAAGACCCACTAAAAACACTGTGATTTTATTCTCTACTAGGAGGACCATTACTAAATAGATCTTATAGAAGCTTAAATAGTAATTATATTCTGGTCTATCACAATTCTTAAAATTTGGAATCCTACTTGAGGAACCCAAAAATAGTTTTCCCAAGCCATTGTAAGGCTTGGTTTTCCCAAGTCATTAAAAAAAATTCAAGTTAAGTTTTATAAAGTTTCATTTCTGTCATTTCTGCTGTTAAACAAACTCAATTTGTGAGTTCAAAAAAAAAAGGAAGGAAGGAAGGAAGATCTGGAGAGGGATGTCAAGTCTAGAGAACTTAGAAGGTAATTAAGGAGGTCCTTGTTGGTTTCTATAAAATGAGAATCATGTCCACAAATATAATAACAATAGATCATGATGGAGATGAAATTCAAGATACCACCTTATGAGGTCACTGATTATGTATTTTATATTGCTCACATAGTTTTTAAAGAGAGACATGTCTTTATGATTTCAATAAATACTTGTTGAATTGATGGTGGGAAGGATGAATGAATATACACATATGAAATTATTTTTAATTTAGATAAAGTAACTTCCTTATGGTTACAGTTAG